TCAACCCAAACCACCCACCCCACCTTTTGAGCAACCTGATAGACTTTTTTTACACTAAATAAGCTTTCCAATTTATTGTTATGTTACATGGATATGTTTATGGGGTTTATGTGTGTGTGTGTGTATAAGTAACTGGAACCGGTATACCTAGCTTTTGCTAATTCGATTCTTTTCTGTAGGAAGTACCCTCGCTCATGTCAATGTTTATAGATTTGTTGTGTTCCGCTTTTCTCTATATAGAAATGTTTCCCATTCAAAAATTTGTGGTAAGTTGTGAAGAGAATGGTTTACTTGAAATAAATGATTCATTATATCAGCTGTATGTACTTATCCTCCCTAGTATTCCTTTCTCCTTTTGTTTTTTTCTTCTGCCAGTGGCTGGTGACGTATGGGAGTTCTTTGTAGTTTGGTTTCTTAATGGACTTAGTTTATTGACACGCTAGATTTTAATTCTGGTAATGCATGTGACCTTAGGTGGAGAAGAATTACTTAAATGGCAAGTTGAAAGCTGTTACAGCATACTTCTGTAAACCCTCCTGAAAGCTGTGGTCAGATGAATCTGATAATCTTTTTTGCCAAGTGGAATGATGAATACCTTCTTAAATGGCAAGTTGAAGGCTGCTACAATATACTTCTGTGAACCCTCCTTATAAGCTGTGGTCGAATGAATCTTGTAATTTCCTTTGTCAAGTGGAACGTATACCTTTCTCCGGAGCACATGGGATTTGTCTTTGCTGTGGCTTTCATCTTCTGTATAGTGATGTATGTAACAAATATGCTCATATATACTTTGTACGGTTTATATGAAGTGGAACTGGCAGCGAATGTTGTCACAGACAGCCGTTTCCATTGACATTGGTATTAGCAGGAAGGGTTAGTAGAGCTCTACTAGTTGTTAGCAGTGCAAAGGAATTCTGAGTGAAAAATTTTCGTTGTCAGTGACGGAATGGTGCATGTTTCTTATCCGTCTGGTTCTGCAAAGTACATGCGTAAGGATCTCCTGTGTGGCAATTCCATCGGATGCTAGGGTGTGACTTATCTATGAAGTTTGTGAAAATCATAGGAGAGCAGGGTTAATACCAACAGAGCCAAAAGCATGGGTGATTTCTTCTCATCCTCCTAAGGCTTAGTGGGTAGAGTTAGTACTTGGGCTAATAGGAGTTAGTAGGTAGCAGTGTAATTGTAGAGGTGCGGACAAGCTGATCATGAAACCATCGTCATTGGAAAAAAAAAAATTGTGGCAATTCCATCCACCATATTGCTGCTTACTGCAGCTGGCCGCTGTTGCTTCTGCTGCTAATTGCGAAAGTGTGCTGGAAATTGACTGGCAAAATAGACTTAGTAGGTAGAAAAAAGATTCAACTTTGTGCCTTGGTCTGACTCTCCGCTTTTTGATGTGATACGTTTGGATGAAATGGCGGTGATATGCCATTTGGAATGGAGTATATAGAAATTGTTATACTTGAACATTCATCTTGTAATTTTACTACTAGTATATGTGACCGGTAATATGGTTTGGTTATTTGGCCTAATTGTATAGTTTGTATTTTGCTTCAGTGATTAGTAGATCATGTCCTATATCCTTACATAACCATGACAGGTAGAACTTAATATTTTGTAATGTTGTGCACAATTTTGCGTTTAACCCCTCGGCTTAGCATTATTACAGATTTATGGTTGTGGTTGTTTAAACGTTTCTTTCCTTTTGTTTGGATGTGATAGCATTCACTAAAATTTGTGGATTCCCTGTTGCTTCACCTTTTTCTCTCTTATTTTTCCTCTTTTTTGAAAGTATAAGATGGATGTTAAAATACATTTTGGATATTAAAGGATAGACATTTTGGAGCAAATCTGCAGTTGATAGTTTCAAATGCGGCCAAATTCTGAACAATTCTTTGAATGCATATCTTGTAGAGGTACATAAATCTGTAGAGTTGTTAAAGACCTTCCTAGCTCTTTTTGAACTTGAGTTAGTGTGTCAATCAATATGATTTTTTTTGGCAATACAATCAATTTGAATTTCGTAAATCTAAATGGCTACCACAATTCATACACCACTCGGGGGTATTCTCGCCCCAACTGAGTAAAATGGACCAAATCCGATTTGAGTCCAAAGATGAGATGTATGTTGCAAGTTAATCGTGTTTAAGACTGCCGTCTCGAGTTGATTGGGGAAGATGAAGGATGGATCCTAAGCGGGTAAGATTAACATAATCTACTGGACCATGAGCTGATAATCCTGGGATTACTAATCCTACCATCCTAAATATTATCTCAGACCAACTTTGTCTGTAATCAGTTCCCTTTATCCAAGGGAAAATGAAACTCCTAATTAGCTCAAAAGCTGCATTCAGAACCTTTGGCAAAACCCATAGCAGTGAGAAGTAATTCTTGTTTGGTTCTTCCTCCAAAACCTGCAATTAGAAACAAGGACTCTATTGAATTGAAATCAACCCATAAACTACTGAATTTTAATTATTAAGACTGATTAACTCGTTTCCTAATCATCAATAACTTTGATAAATGTGTCTCCAATTTAATGCGCATGCAACCTTTATGCTCGAACTATACATATAAAATTTGAAAGTTCTAAAAATACCTCTCTCATCCAAAAAAATATGACAAAATTTATATAGAAGGAGTCAATATATTTTCTCTAAATTTAGCTGTAGAATTAAATACTTTTTATGTAGCTTTCAAGAAAAATGTAAAATTCATTTTAGAAAAGTTAAAAGTTGAAGCTTGAACCAAAAACTGAAATTATTTAATACACTGAACCCCTACTCTAATTTCTGCTATTCTTTTTGTGAAGGAATAATGATTACGGTAGTACTCTCAACCTATTATCTTAAAATTCTGGATTCGCCTATGACCGAGACTGAATTATTATATGAAAGAATGTCTAAGTCCTATAAAGCAGAGATCAATATATATNGTTGAACTTCTCCATCATAAAATTTCCAAATTGTTCATCTCCAACCCTAGGTTGTCCAAATGTATAAACTCCTTCCAATTTATCCAACAACCAATCCTCTTCATGCAAAGCTAATATAGCTGCAAATAATATTGCTAATGCACCACCTAAGCTATGTCCTGTCACTATGAATTTTGCTTTCTCATTTTTGTTCAATATTTTCTTCAAATCTTCTCTTATTTTGTAATATGCAAATAGCTTATTATTTTGTTGTTGGTTTTCTTGATCATTTATTTCTTTTGGCCAGCCTATGTTCTTTTGCAACCCTAGCGCTTTCATGAAACCTGCATGGATTTTGCCCATGCCTTCAAGATCGTACCATGAGAGGTCTATATCTGTAATCCATGCATCTGCATAAAATGGACTTGTCCCTCTAAATGCTACCACAACTAGGTTTGGATCTTCAATTTTGTCTTGAAACATTGTGGCTTGAGTCGAGTATTGTTCCTCGTAAGCTGACAATAAAATGTATAAGAAAATTTCACTTTCTGTTTGCATCTTCATTTCCTTTTTATTTATATAATATATGTTGCACAACCAAAAGAAAAGGAAATCAAGAGTGTGTGTGTGAGAGAGATAGAAAGAGAGAGTGTGTGTTTTCTTTTTTGATTTTAACTTCTATTGTACACTGACAGTGTAAATGGATTTAAATTTTAATAGACAAATCTGAAAGATAAGTACAAGTGCGACTAATAACAAAATTGTATTCAAGTTCTACTTTTCTTTGGAAAAAAAAAATCAGACACTCTATTGTATTAGAAACAAATGTGTACGACCTAAGAAGTAGAAGAATTGAATACGTAAATATTGGTAAGTCAATGTTGAGGTCTTGAAATTTCTACCTGTTTTCAAGTTTAAATTCTCTCAAGTATATATGAGCTTATGATGCTTAATATAATTTTGATGTTGCCAATATGTTAAAATGAATGTATCACTAGTTAATGATGTAAATAGCTTAACAATAAGTAAAAATAAAAATTAGGAAGTGAAAATGAAGAAGCTGTTAAAAGATCAAGGCGTAATATTCGGGTCACTGAATGACAATAGCAATATTAAAAGCAACTATCTCAATCTATTATATTACTAATTTATGGTATCGGACATCAATATCCCCAAGTACATGCCTAAATTAATTAAGTTTTTTTTAATAAGATCTGGATATGAATTAATATTCTGCTGGATCTTAATGATATGGCTAAAGTCAAAAGATTAACTCTGATTTTATAATAATTGTTAAATAACTTCTTAAATTGAGGGATAAGTAAAGCCGGAACATTATTTAATGCAGTTCGAGGATGCCACTTCGCCTATAATATAATAATGGATCTACAATTAACTTTATAATAATAAATAATTAGCTTAACTGGTCACCTACCTGCATCATATTTTACGTTTTCCGAGTGAGCAAATATATTAAGATTACAACTTTACATAGAAAGAAAGGAAAAGGTTTGGTAATCGAGCAACCTACAAGTACAACTAATCCAATGTTTAAGTTTTTTTAAAAAATCAATTCCTTCGGTTCATAATAATTGATATTTTTATCCTTTTATTTTGGTTCAAAATAAGTGTTCTTTTTACATAATTAAAAATGAATTAACTTTAATTTTTCAAATTTACCTTATTTACACAATCCAATGTGTCAAGTTAACAATATAAAAATTTTATTTGAGAGTTCGTATATTCTTAAATGATATGCCAAAGGCTAAAATGTTACTTCGTCAACACGGGAGGAAGTATATGGTTATTGTCATTATCTTTTGTTTGAATCTTCCCAACCTTGGTAGGCTTTTGATCAATTTGAGAAAAGATTATTTAAGTTAAATATATCGTTATATAGTGTAAAGATTTTGACAGTATTTGATTTAATATATGATACTATATTAGTTACTTACCATTTGTACCACATTACACTTAACATTTATCGTAGTGATTTGCATGTAATATCTTTCAAATAATCTGATTGTGTAGGTATATTTTACATTAATTATTAATACATAAAACTTAAAATGTTCGAGAAAATTGAATAACTAGTTTCAAAATATAAATTCTATAAGAGGCATTGGAATTTTAGTTAATACATTATATATTTGAGAGAAGGATTAATATTTACTTTATTGGATCAAGATGTATATATCCTAATTAGCAATTTAGTACAACTTACCATTCCAGAAATTGTGCAACCCCAAGAAGTGCATCTGAAGAAAGACAAAAAAAACAATTTAATTTGTAGTACATATTTTTTCAATAGAAATAGAGTATAATGTTTCAACTTTTCTTTGCGATGAAGGGAAGATTGCTTCAATATTGTAAAGTAATAATTACCTGCCAATGATGATTGATTACTGTTTTGTTGAGGGCTTCATTTTCGTAAGATAATTTAGCAGCCATAATTGACAGGTGTGCATTATATCTGCTGTCTCCTATCTTTATTGACTTGTCTAAGTCCACTCTCACATCAAGATTTCCGATCATCGACCTGAACGTCTCCGATGACTTTTCCGGCGTTACTGTTTTTCCTATAATACCACAATTTTTTTTATTTATATACGCTGATAGCAAAAAGAATTTTATACTATATATCAATGTAAAGAATTATTATGTGATTCATGTAAATAAAAAGTAATTAGAAGTTGGACGAAGAAACCCCTGAAAATTAATGTAAACAATTATTACGCGATTCTTGTAAATAAAAAATAAGTAGAAAGTTGGACGAATTAAGAAACCCTTGAAATTAATTCTGCAATCCACGCCATGACATTTTTATGAATCTTCAACCTTGTTATGTAAATTCTACATATTTTTGTTTCATAACGTTTCAACTTTTCTTTAAGGATCAGTCGTGAGATTAAAGTCTGGAAGATACCCTTAAAGACCTTATAAGTCCTTAAATACAAGAACATTTTTTTCTTAATTAACACTATACTCTAATTCTTAAATTCAAGAACATGCAATTGAATTCGTCAGCATCATCATTTAATACTATACTCTAATTCTACTTTTCTAAAAAGAGTATTGGCTGTAGCAATAAATTTTTAAGTCTAATTTTCAGATATTCATAGCAAGCCAAAGAAATCATACACTAATTCCAACTTTCTAAATCGTAATGCATGTTATCTTGTATGCATGAACCATGCATTTAATTTGACTTCATTCTACTTGCATGTTCAAAGCAATTACTTGAAATTTCCACAGAAAAAATAGAAAAAGATATATAGAGAAAATTTTGAAATGTTCCATTTTCTGATGAATGCAAAGTAGAGAAACTCTGGTAGGGAGCGCTTCCCCTTGAATAAGTTTTACGCTTTGTGAATCCAAATTAATTTGTCAAGACCACTATAGGTTAAAAAAAGCGAAGCCCTAGCTAGTAATTTAAACAAAAGTAGAGGAAAGAATGGAAATCCAAACCTTGTATTATGTTCAAGAAAAGCTGGAGAAAACCACCATTGAATGAAGGATAATTTTGCATGAGCTCAACTATATAACCTAAACTGGCCATGGGTTTTTTAAACCAAAACAAGAATCTCTGCAATATAACGGAGATAAAAATGAGCCATCGCCGGCGAAAACCTCCGATCCTTTCTACTCCGGCCGAAACATCGAAGAAATTTCTTTTATCTAATTCACTAGAATAGAAGATACGAATGAAATCAAAGAAACTAGCTTCTTCTGGCTTTAATTCAAAGTAACCTTTACAGAATTCTTCCTTGTTAGCCATCGATGTTATAACTTACAAGATATGTGTATGAATAGTTCATAAAATGTCTATATTTATATAGTAAAGCATTAGTCATGACCTGACACTTTGAATTAATAAACACGGTTTATCCTAATGGAATAATTACTAAACTAATTGATAATTCAATATGAATAATATTCCCAAGTCTTTAAATTATAAGATTGTCAATTGTCAAAGTTTTAGTTAACGTAAATAAATTCCAAGTACACGATGCATGTCTTACTTTGTCTTTGGTCTAAAGATCCTTAGACAAAGTCATGGAATTGATCAGAACGTGTTTGATATACTTAATTACGTGGTTTCTCTTTGAATAGTCCTTAAGTCAGCCAATTACATTATTAATTATTTAATATATATATATAATTTGCCTTCATTTTGTTCAAATAATACTCGAGAAAATACAAATAACATGGATGTCCTATAAAGAAAGAAAAGTAGCTATAAAATACTAAGCTGAATTATTATGTTTATAAATTTTCTATCAACTTAACATTATTTATTATAAAAGAAATTTTCCTCTATTATCATAATTTAACCTATTGTAGTAGGTTGTACTTTTGTCTTATATTTTTAGGTCCTTATTATGAGCAATTACCTATACTTATTTTATTAAAGCGGAACTTATTAAAACTAATTCCAAAAAAACTCATGAGGGTGTAGTGCTCCATGTTAAGATGTCGGAGAAGAATTTACTAATTATATTTGGTGGTGGTTGACGCGTCATATCAAATGTTACTATAGAGCGATTAACAAGTGTTTAATTACCCTTATCTAACCTTATCGTTATTAGTGCAAAAAATAATAGCATCCGGATTTGTTTCCCTTTTAGGTAAAGGTGGAACTGATGATTAAAATTAATTCCTAAAGCAATCAACTACTATATGTGAGCAAATTAAGTCTAGAAGCTTTTGGCAGAATAAGGTTTGTAAAGATAGGATTGTTAAGATTTGGTAGCATATTTAGAGATATTCCAAATTAATTAGTGAATATTTTTTTTCTATTATTATAATAGAAGAAAATAAGCAGTTAAGGTAGAAATATTAAAAACGAAGGGAGTATTTTTCTATCTCCCGCAAAATGAAGGTTAATTAGTTCCTACTTCGGTAATATTATTACATTCCAAAAATGTAATTTTTAATGTGTATTTTCATACTATTTCATTTACAAACATGGGAGTAACAATTAAAAGTGAATTTGGCGAACAGATTATTCTTAGCACCTTTTATATATATATATATATNTCCATCATTAATTTCCTAACTTTCATAATTGGTGTGAGAAGAGAGCTTGTTCTCTTCTAACACTGTAGGGGTTTGATTTTTATGTCCAAACTCTTATAGTACTCTAATTTTTCAAATAAGTTCAGTCAGCCTCGTACTTAATTAATTGAATAGCCACCCCTGACTAAATCTAGATCTTAGAGGACCACGCACCTGCCTAATTTAGAGAAGTTTTTGACTAACTTCTACAGACATAAAATTAAATAACTTAAAAATATATAACTTCAGCAAACTTTTTCCTGATTTTAATTTCGAATACTTCTTTTTTCTAAATTCAACTTAAATATTGTCCAAACACCTAACCAAGAAACTCTCTTTAACTTATAGCCTGTTTCGCCAAGCTTCTCCCCAAGCCAAAAGTGTTAGGACTGAAAAAATCAGGTGTCATGCGGAAGCTAGCAAAACAAACCTTGAATGACGATAAATCATACAACAAAGAGAAAGATGCCAAAAGAGACACAAACATATAATGTGGTTCGGTCAACTGACCTACATCCACGGCGGAGATGAACAATCCACTATATAAAAGAGAGTATAAAATATCGTGAGAACAACCTCACGAAGAGACAAACACAAGTGAAACACTAACACTTGTCCTGTAAAGTTCTCCTTCTAAAAACGGCTCTCAAACCCCTTATAGCTACATTATGGGTGCTACTGAATGAGAAGAAAGGATCATCAATTTATAGAAGTCCAAACATTTTCCTATAAGAAAAGGGACTAGCCAAATATGAGAGATTTATAAGAAGGAAAACTCAATTATGGTAAACATGTTGCCCTTTCCTTCAAGAGATAGAAAACCCAAATATGTTAAGAAAATTAGGACAACACCTAACAATTCTCCCCCTTGGCCTAAATTTTCTGACGAAATTAACTTGATCCACCTTCTTCACATAATCTTCAACAGGTTGCATCTCCAAATCTCCATCGCAAAGTTTGTCTCAATGCGCGTAGCACTTTGGTCAAATTTCTCAAACAAAAATCCCGATTACCGTCAAATAGGTTGCGACTAGAACTGAACAAATATATACCAAAAGAGATACAAACATATAATGTGGTTCGGTCAACTGACCTACATCCACGACGGAAATGAGAAATCCACTATATAAAGGAGAGTACAAATATCAAGAGGAACAACCTCACGACGAGGCAAACACAAGTAATATGCAAACACTTGTCTCGTAAAGTTCTCTCCCTAAGCACGATTCTCAAACCACTTATGGCTACATTGTGGTTCCTACTGAATGAGAAAGAATGATCATCAATTTATACAAGTCCAAATATTTTCCTACAAGAAAGGGGACTATCCAAATATGGGAGATTTATAAGAAGAAAAACTCAATTATGGTAAACATGTTGCCCTTTCCTTCAAAAAATAGAAAAATCAAATATGTTAAGAAAATTAGGACAACACCAAACAAAAAGTGTTTTTTTTACTCCAAAAAAAGTATTTTTTTTCCTTCTCATTTTGAAGTGTTCGGCCAATTTTTTTTTAGGGGGGGGGGGGGAGGGGTGGGGGAGGCAAAATTGTTTTTGGCTAGAAATAGAAGCATTTTTTACTTTTCTTCCTACCAAAAATACCCTTAGTAAAATATTATATATACCAAAATAACCTTACTTAATTTAAACTATTAAGTAATATATAATGACTTTTGGGATGAATTTTATATTTATTTAAATTATCTTGAAAGTATAAAGTACTTTTCAATTTTTTTTTATATTTTATTTAAATCAAATATAAAACTTAACTATTATCATAATAACAAATATATGTGATTATTTATCTACTTATATAGTAACATTAACTATTAAGCAAACCTCTTCATGTCCTTATTCGTAATTTGACACTTAAGGACCAGAAGAAAATTCTTTATTTTCTCTCCGTACAATTACTAACGTTGGCCCTTAACTGTAACATATTTGACGCGTCAACCCTATGCTCCGCCTCATGGCGCTGTCGGACGGTGTCCAAAGGGCGCGTACTAACAACCAATATGAACCTCCATATACGACGACTCCAACTGCTGAAGCAATTGCTTAAAAATTAACTTATGCCACCACAGTAACTAATGCAACGTCTACTCCAACGACCACCGTCCGACACCCTCGAGAATCAGTAATTGCTCGACAAACTACTCACAATGGGATGCCGATAGTGATTTTTAAATCTAAAGACTATTACGGAATCATGGCTGAAAAATGCAAATTAACTATTATTGGTAGGTTTCTGAAGCAACATCCTCAAATCGAAAGGATAAGGTCCAGTTTCAGAGAGCTTTTTTTTCAGTTAAAGGTGATTCTAAGATTGGAGTCTACAACAACTACAATATTTTCATAGATTTCACCAATGAAGATGACTTCAAATCGGTATGGTACAGGAGGTGATCGAAATTGAAGGATTACAAATGTGACTACAAAAATGATCGCCGAATTTTAAGCCGGATGAAGACATTCTAATTGTTCTGGTATGAGTACTTTTTCCAGGTATACCATTCAATATGCATACATGACATTATGTTAAACAAATTGTCAGTAATGTTGGCACTCTGTTGGCCTTAGATGCTGCTACTTATGGTAGAAAAAGGCCTAATATGGCTAAGGTAAGGATCGAAATAGACTTAACGAAATCCCTACCTAGCAGTGTATGGGTGGGCTCCGAGGATGAAAATTCACCTCTAAAAGAATATACGCAAAAAATTGAATACGAAAACATTCTTAAGTACTGCAAGCATTGTAGGAAAATTGGGAACAATATGATGAATTGTAGAGTTCTTGAGAAAATAAGAACTGTAGAAGTCAATGAATGGGAAACAAATGCTGAAAATATGATTCTATTGCAAACAAAAGAAGGAAGTAGTAAAAATCAGGAAGAGAATAGTGTAGCCAATGAAGGCCAAAAGAAGGTTATGGCAAAGCAAAATGCTACAAAAGTTGTTAAGGGTGAGGCAAAACAGAATGCTAATATTAATGTTAAGAAAGGAGAGGTGCCTACCAACAAAGAAGTTGCTGAATCATTAAAAATGTTACTGAGGAAAAAATTGAGGCAACTAGTTCTATTATAAAGGGAAGTACAAATGATAAAGTTGAAGCTAATAAGAAGCGGGGTCATGGGAACCAACAAAGAGCATAGAAAGCACAAGCTAACACTAACAATGTGACTATATTTTCAGCAAGACCTACAGTTACAGAGAGACTAAGCAAGAGGAAGGAAAAAAAGAAGAAAGTTAAGAAAATGCCAAAAAAAAGAAGAAGCAAATTAATATTCAAACCGGTTCAACTGCAGGAAAATAGTAAAAGAAGGATAGCAAAAACTACCAATTCTATAGTGAACAATCTCTATAAGAGATCAAAGAGAGTATCCAAAGTCAGAGTGATCAAGGGAACCAGAGTAACTAACAACAGGTGCAAACAATTGTTATGGATAATAATCCTACTACAGATATTGTAGAAGCTCCAAACATTTCTAAAGAAGATAGAAGGCATGATAAGGTTAAACATGGAGATTGACACCAACACAAGGGTTGATCAAGAACATCAGCCAGCAATTAAGGGTGCTAATATGGTCAGTGATAGCTCTAGTTCATCCACTTTATCATCGGATATTTTAATCAACCGGGAGTGATTTTTTTTATTGAACTGAATATTCCCATATTTATCCATTCGGCTGAGAATAACGATGAGGTTACTAGTGATCTTCTTAGACAG